GGGAAATCTACCTTTTAGCTCGGCTGTCCAGGGAGCCAGCGGAGCCTCTCTGGGATAAGCCCTCCCCAGAGGGCTCTGAGCCCAGCAGAGGTCTGCAGTCGTCCTCCATCCTCACCTTCAGCTCATCACCGTCTGCAGAGAAACAAGAAGCCGCGTTCAAATAGGAATCAGGACTTAATGAGATGATTGAACGAGCTGCAGTTTCCTTCCTCCTTCATGCTTCTGTCACTGCTGGCAGACATTCAGCTGAGAGAGCAAAACCTCTCAGTCTTTACAACCACAGGAAACAGCCTGACTCAGGGCGTTCAGAAGCAGGAAGTCCAGAAATAAGGAACAAGATTCAAATTTACAGAAATATTCATCATCTAGCAGGATGACGTGGAGCTTTGGCTCAATTTAAACCCCAAACTGGAAAAACTCACCTTCTGGTTGTACTTAGTTAGTGTCACCGACAGGCTGGTCAGAATGAGCCTAATAATAATAATTAGTTAAAATAATAATAATCTAATTTAATTTAGTGGAAGATGCAGAGAAACGGGCTGATTTAGGAGGATTCACTTCCGCCTCTGAAGCTCAGATCCAACAGAAAGCAGCTTTTAGCTTTCAGTAAACAAACACAGATGATGAGTGTCACCTCATCTCCGCCCCCCACACTACAAACACCATCTACAGATGGTTCCGCTTCATCTGCGCCGCATCCAGCTGCTCCTGGAACCAGATGTTCCCCGAACCTGCTGCCCGGTTCGGTACCATCACCGACCCAGAGCCAGTCCCTGGAGCCCCGGCCGGCCGGCGGTGGCTGACAGCAGGCTGGACCCGGAGCTCAGTGCTGATGCCATAGCTGAGTTTCAACAACTAACTTTATAAACAACAGCAACAACAGCAACAGCAGCCCTCTGACTGTAAACAGAGCGGAAAACAATGAAGGGAGCTCACCTGGAGAGGAGAGCAGAGGAGGCTGCTAGCTCTGCTGCTAGCTCTGCTGCTAGCTGAAGAAGTGATACCAACCAGCGGCAGCCAATCAAATCACCTGTCAGACACGCGCAAACACGTCACACAATGGGCTGGGAAAGAACTGACTGCTGTACAGGATGAGGCTGCGGTATCCTGGGATGCATCCTCCAAGGACGCGGTCTACCTAGACTGGATCCTCCGAAGTCC